AATAAACATATAAAATGGGCCGAAATGTATATAATATGCTAAGAAGCACGGGTCAGTGATACAAGTACAGAGGAAAACTTTCAAAACAAATGCTTTATGGCCGCCCAAAGTCTCAATAACATCACTTCCACCTAGGAACAAATAAAGAAAAATGACAAGACGGCAGACGCACGTGAAAACAATCAAAGAATCTAATAAGTAAATATAATTGTCTCTAAGATACAGATATTGTCCGAAAACTCTTACATATACTCATCAGCGTCCTAGATACACGAATTACTTCATGTTGTCTTCTTAACGCGGCTGTACACCTTCCCGTACCGGATGTCGTGGTCGAGATGAGACTGTTCATCCATCTTCTTCTTCTTCAGGTCACGCTCCTTGCTGCACGCTCTTCACTGGATCTATCAGGACAAATTCATACATCTTTGTGTGCCTCAGCTAGCCTCAGTCTCCCTGTTTTCATCAGAATCTGACGAACTGCTGTATAACTGGGGACAGTGATCTTGACTGGTCGGATAGCCGTACTCTTCCAGCCAACTCTTGTCGCTTCGAAATGTTGTTTCACCCCGATCTCCTCCAGAACTTAGCTGGCAGTTGTTGTTGTTGTTCTTCTTTTAACCCAAACACAATCAGGTTCTTGCTCCTGTCTCCCTCTGCAGCCACACTCTTCATCACCTTCTTCAACGTTTTACTGTTGGAGAGTGGAGACCGTACCACTTGCGCTGTTCTTTTGTACAACTGCACTGTAGCTCTAAATCCCTGACTCCACTGTTGTCTGCACTGTCTCCTCAACTGCAGTCTTAAGCAACTTGAGTTGTTCATCCTTGTGCAGTGTGCACCAGCAACTGGCCCTGTAGCCCAATCAATTTTTTTTGTCTGCTAGCGCTTCCGACTTGAAGCACTCAATGGTCTCCATCATGATGCTCACCTGGTAAGTGGTTACTCTGCCGTCGAACGAGGTCAACTGCATAGAGAAGCCAGTATGACAGAGTCTTTTTACTTTTTTATCAAACTCACGAATTTTCTCCTGAGATCGGGTCAAATTCATTGCATCCTACATAGTGTACTTGTATAGTAATGTACAAGTACTCACGCAAAGGCTAACTACAAGGTAGCAGCAAACTGTACTTAACGCAAGTATAATGTTGAGGCAGAGCTGTATTACATCATGATCACGCAAATAGGAAGTGGTGTTAGAAAACCCACGCCAAGCAGTGCGAAGTAGATCTAATTTAGCTCTATATATTATATTCAAACTCGTGATTTTCCCGATCACTCTCTTGATTTTCCCTACGGAAAATCAAGAGAGCTCTTGATTTTCCGTGCGGAAAATCAAGAGGGCTCTTGATTTTCCTATGGAGCTCTTGATTTTCCTACGGAAAATCATGTTGGGAAAGAGAGAGAGAGAGAGAGAGAGAGAGAGAGAGAGAGAGAGAGAGAGGGAGAGAGAGAGAGAGAGAGAGAGAGAGAGAGAGAGAGAGAGAGAGAGAGAGAGAGAGAGAGAGAGAGAGAGAGAGAGAGAGAGAGAGAGAGAGAGAGAGAGAGAGAGAGAGAGAGAGAGAGAGAGAGAGAGAGAGAGAGAGAGAGAGAGAGAGAGAGAGAGAGAGAGAGAGAGAGAGAGAGAGAGAGAGAGAGAGAGAGAGAGAGAGAGAGAGAGAGAGAGAGAGAGAGAGAGAGAGAGAGAGAGAGAGAGAGAGAGAGAGAGAGAGAGAGAGAGAGAGATAGATACGTCAACAAGTTGAAATGTACTCTCAGCATACTCGCAATGTAATCCAGTATACTATATTTGTATTGAAGTGTAGTGATTCCCGGCACTAGCTGAGCCGAGATCGCTGGGTCCTGTTATAGTTTGTGTTGCAGTTTTGAGTGTGTTAAAGATTTGTTACTGCAGGGAAATATTATGGCTTTAGATATGCTTCGTGTGGAATCAATTAGTTCGATGCTAAAGAATGTCTAATATTCATTGCTTCTCTGTATAAACTCAGTAAGGGAGATTAGTAATTAGAGGAAATTAAGGAAACTGTCTTTCCATCGCACAACATTTTACATCATGCTGTTAATTAAGCACATGTTATACAGTTTGGATAGCGGCTTGGTTAGTGTACTAGTCAGCCAGAGGGGTATGAGTGAGGGATAGAGAGAAGGAGAGAGGAAGAATGAGACGGAGGCGGAGAGAAGGAGGGGGAGAGAAGGAGGGGGAGAGGGATGGGAAAGATATAGGAAAAGAGAAATGGAGGAGAGTGAGGTGGATTGAAAAATGAAAGAAGAGGGAAATATAAGTGAGGGGAGAGAAAGAGAGGGGGTAGCTGAGGGATGCCGATTGATAGATTGTTAAAGTGTAATTTCATAAAACTTTAGCGTTTTTCGTAAGTTTTCGCTGACAGTTAAGGCTTCCCCACAGCTCTGCACGTGTGTAGCGTGTCTGATAGTTGCTTTGCAGGACGGGTACTTTTCTCGTTCTTCAATCTTGTTGGTCTATAACACTTGGGGGGTTTCACCCCATTATATTTTGACCGGTACACGTATTTTACTTGCTACATAACTGCTTTGGAATAGGTCATTTAGTGCAGGTTGTCGTCTTGTTGGTCGTCACATTGTCTTTCACACTACTTAGCAAATTCATTCTTAACACCCGATCATTTTCGTAATTATAGCACAGTGGAACCCACAATTTTCCACACCATCCCATTAAAAGGTAATAATAAATGCTCCATTTTGGGAGCAATCTAACTGTGGTATTTATAGCTTTTCTCTCCAAATGTTCATGTCTTGCGCGCCTCTCCTAAATTTTTTGCCAATTACCGCAGAGGTCACGTGACCGCGCGGCGCGAGGCACGTGATCCCTGCATCTGTCTGCTGTTAACCAGCACACTCGCTGTTTCTCATATCACTATTTTGTTACACTATGCACATTTTTAGCTTGCTTTAGACCCCGTTTCTACATTTGTGATTTGAGTTTCTTTGCGGAGATATTTAACGGGCTTAGATAGTGAAGACTTCAGTATCTTAAACAGCAGGTAGATATTTATTATATTCCTGTTTATACTTCCGTTCAATAATAAAGAATTACTTTAATTAGAGCATACTAAATAATTCTTCAGTTTTGTATTCTTTTCCTCTCTACCCACTTATCAGTACACTTAGTGATACGAAAAAGTTCTTCGAACAAAAATTGCTTGATTTAATATAAAATTTAGATGATACAAGTGGATAAATATACGAAAAGGAACATTGTAATTATACCACAATATCACCAATACAGTATTAAGGTTTCTTACAGCGAGCTTATAAAGCTTTATAAGCTTTTGCATAACTATTGGACACATAACATCAGCACACTCGCCGTTGGAATGTCACTCTAGAGAGAACCCGTCACAATTATACATCGTATATATTAATATTATGTGATGTACTGCATTACTTATACTATTTTAATTAGAAGTGTGGATATATTCAGGGACTGTATAGGTTGTACTGTAGAGGAGATATATTGTTAAAGTAAAATGTGTTGTACAAGGATTTTACCCTGATTTCACCTTGATTTTACCCTGTGATTTACTGCAGACGGCCGGAGATTTACTGCCTCCGTCAGCAATCTGTCAGGTACCAAACACATGTATCGTTATGTGATGTGAAAATTGTTCACTTATGGGTAAAATTTGGATATGTTATAGCAGGAATTTTTTCTATAAAGCAATGAAAAATTATTGAGAAATTATTAATGTTTCATACTTTTAGCTAGAGTCAGTTGAGACTGAGAGTCACTAAAACATTGAAAATGCTGTTGAGTGAGATCGATATTTAATCAAAGTCATAAAATAAATATATATATAACACAATTCAAGTGAGAGATCGAAGAAATGATTGAATCGGAAGAAAAATGAGTCAATGACCATCCTTCAAATATTATTCGAAGTTTTCCCTTTCTCTTCTATAATTTCTTTGTAAAATAAACTTAACCGGAGCGGCCATAAAAAAATATTATTTTACTCACTCTAATTATCACCAGAAAGGTGGTTATCGGATATACTAACTTACTTTGAAGTTACACCTCAACATTTTAGCACGTTTGAAATCCGGATGTTTGCTACAAAATGAATACTCTATCGGACATAATTGTCACGGACATTACTTTCACGCTGAAAACCTTAGCGTGAATATTTAAGTCCGTGAAAATAATGTCTGTGGCATTAAGGTCCGTGAATAATAAAGTCCGGTAATTATTTCCATTAATTTTAGTGTGCGTGTCCCTACGGCCTACATATGCATTATGCGTAGATACGTGTGTAGCCGATTACTATATTAGCTTATTAGTATATACTAGGACAAATATAATCACTCCTCAGAGTTCTAGAGTTAAGTTCAGAAAAAGAGTAAAACACTTATTCAAAAATCACCAAAAATGTTCACAATTGTTTGGAAATTTTTGGGCGGTCATAAGTGTGAATAATTATGTCTGTGAAAAACTTGTGCGTGACAATTATGTCCGATAAGGTACTTAGTTATTTGAAAGTTCCCGAAACAATTTTCAATTTGTCGTATCACTAATATGTTTCCAGAAACCTCCTTTGGATATAACTAACTGGTTTCCTATTTGTAGCGACGGCCATTATCTTTTCCAGATCCGTCAACGGTTCACTTTAAAGATGGTACCACTAACACAGAAAATACCGTCTAATTTTCTTCTCTACACTAAAAAGGCCGTTTTAGTATGAGCTGGTTTACCCCAAATAATAAAAACCCTCAAAACCGTAAAATATCTTCATAAGGGGCTTCGCCAGGTCCCTTAAAGCATTGTTCATTTAACTGTAGAGCAAACTTGAGTGGACTCAATATCATTCCTTTTACCAATTCATTAGGTTAAGTACACGGGGAAAAGTCTCTCAAAATACAATCCCAACGAACACGAAGATTTCACAACCAAAACTAACCCCGATTACAACTAATTATTAATCAATGATGAGTCATCATTGATGACTAATTAATTATTATTTCAGATTCGAAGTCAGTTTCACAAGCGGTTCGTGCTGGCAAGCCGCGGGCTTTCGAAATGACAGATGCGCCTCACCTTTCAGGTAGACTAAGACAGCCATTCTACGCATGGGCTTCCTTTAAATAACGAATTACATTTTTTTCCTCCAGTTTTGACAATGATAAATGGCATGAAATTGAAAATGTTTGATTGATTGAATTTGAACTTTCTGTCTTTGTGTTTGATTGATATTTTTTGCCTCACATATAAAATTTATTTCTGCAGCTTCATCTTTTAAGTAAACTCTAAAGCCAAAGATATTTTCATAGTTTTTACGGCTTGTGATAATTCTCTCTGTGATTTCTGAGAATACTAAAATAGCTCATTTTTCTTTTCATTCTTATACTGATGTTCAGATTTTAGCTCTAGTTGAAAACAGAAACATTGTTTCTAAAATTACACATGGAAACATTCCCTGATTCCCTTTCAGCATTTTAGTGCTTCAGTCGAAACGCATGGGTTTATTATTTCAGACACATTTAGTGCATTTAGTGCACGGGGGATCATAAACTTTATGAATCCCTTAGTAACACGTAAAGGAACATGTTATGAAGAAGGCATCTGTATAACGTCAAATATCATTCGAACTCTTACCTGAAATTTGTTCAGGGCATGTTCCAAAACTTCAAATAGAATTACCAACGCAAGAGAATTGGCTGAAGATTACCTGTAGACAGCTTTGTTAAATTTCACTGAATTTGCTTTAATCACCGGACTTCACCGGACCGTCAAAAATAAAAACACCTTTTAATACCATGTCTGGGCTTCCCGGTAAAGGTCTAATATGATCCCGCGAACATTTCCCGCAGCTTGCCATTTCTATATTTCTATATTTCTATATATTTCTATATATTTATAATATTTATATATATTTATATATATATTTATATATTTATATATATTTATATATTTATGAATACTTATAAACCAACCTGCGACATTAAACTATTTGTGGTGGTCGAGACCGAGAGATATTTACAATCTACGGGTCTGGAACAGCAGTTAATAACCGTAACACGTGCAATGCCCAAATAAGGTAATAACCGTTACTCACGTGATACCCAAATAAGGTCATATTCGGGTCTTGAAAAACCCAACTCCACCAGTTCCCACTCATCACCATGAGTGTGAGTGTGTGTGGTCTTGTTATTATATGGCAGACTTAGAAAATCTCTCTAGATAGAGTTGTTAATTTTACTAACTTTATTGTCGACATGACCAACCCCTCATGGAAATAAATACCACATTTTGTGCAACCCATTGTATGATACATAATCTATTACTCAAATTCATACCAAAAAGGCCCCTTTTAGCCAATTAAATGTTCACTGATTTTTTGCCAATTATAATTTTCAACCACCTAATTTATTTCAATTACAATTTACCAATGTTACTACTATTATGAAATGTTACACTACAAATACATAGTGTATATTTGATAAAAGAATATAAACAAATAATAATAGTAGCAAAAGTTAACACATTGAAAATTGAACACATTGGGAGAAATGTACATGCATACTATCATATTATAGGCCGAGAGCTATTGTCCTACTACGTATTACATTTTGGTCACATAAATTTCCTATATTTTCAATTTTTCATATTTGCTCTTGTTGCTATCACTACCAGATTGTATTATCAAACATTTCTCAAAAATCGCTCAAAGATGATGATGGGACATAATTTCATAAATGGTAAGTACTTAGTACAGTTTATAAAGTAAAGTAATAAATAATTCGTTTCAACCATATCTTAATAATCCCACATCATCTACCTAAATAAAAATGTCATCATTTTCCATATAATTATAACAAGACGTGTTTAATTCTCTAAATAGTTTACTATTAGGCAAGTCAACCGTTTGGTACGGATCTCCGACCTCCTTGTTTCACGAGATTCGCTAGAGAGTAATCGCTGTAAAACTCACTTCTTGTCACTCCACTCAATTATAACATCACTTCACCATTGCATGTGTAGATGAATTACCTAATTTTCCGAATCCACTTATACCTTTCCCCTGAAATTATCCTGCTATCTCGAGACGAGAGCGCAATTTCCAACACGAATTTCCAGCAATTACCCATAACTCATCGTTGGTGGCCGGCCTATGATCCTCATCTCGCGATAGCTGCAACATGTTCACTCATCCTCTCTGACTACTCTAAATAGTTTAAGAAAATTAACTCTGACTGTCTGCAAATATAGCTGACAGTCCGGTCACTACTTATTCAGTCAGACAGTTCGTCTCTGCTTAATTTGTGTTGTTATGGATCAGGGTCAAACTAAACTCAAAGGTCAGTTTACTTGTTTTAGGGACCTGGCGGAGAGGTTGTATTTTCTAACTTTTCGTAGGGTGCTGTGGTTGCAACTTACGAGGACTATTATAAGGAGCTATGTGCGTATCCCGGTAAAATTTCATGCGACTGATACGTGGATTAGTAAGAATGTTTTTGTGTTAACCACGGTAGTAATCGAAATTTGTTTGTCATTTATGTAGGGAAGTGAGAATTGGTCCACTGCATCTGTCTTTCTAAGGGAGAAGGAGTCAAGTTTACCCCCTCGATGAAGCGACTACTTGGGTGCTATGTAATGCGGTGGTCCGTTGTCTTTTCATGATATTTTGTAGGCTTGTTTTCTGCATGATAGTCAGAAACTCCCTTCAATCCTTTCCCCCAAGTTTCGTGTACTTATCTCGTTTTATGTGGATTGTGAGCATTGCTCACCATCGTTTTCTCATGCTGTGATGACTTCTTGTTGTCGGTATATTCTCGTATGATTTGTGGGATAGGTTGTTGCGCTTGTGAGGAATCCAAGTCACTAGATTCATTGTGGATCTAACTCCATCGAGGTGTTGCAACCAAAAGAAAGGTTGAACACTTTGTAACGGATTTAACTTTGGGTAAAGCAAACTGTTTTGCAAATAAGTCTTTTATAGACCGCCAATTGTTAATCGGTGCGGTATACAGTAAAACCCCGATATACCGCGCCCCGATTTACCGCAAACCCCGATTTACCGCGGATGTTTCCTTTCCCCCAAACTCCGCGGTAAATCGGTGCGCTATAATACCAACCTTACAAATTCATCATCCATCAGTAACACCTCATATTCCTCAGAGGCACAGGTCACTGAATTCAGAGAGGCATTTGCTATGTTCGACAAGGATGGTGATGGCAGCATATCAGTAGCAGAACTTGGTGAGTGATCAATTTATTTTAAAATTCAAACAAATTTTACATCAATGTATGACAATTACAATTACACGAAACCAAAATATCTACAATGATCTTTCATTATGAAAATGAAAGAAACAAATGCAAATCTTACCATAAACAAAAGTGATGTGTAATTTCCCCAAGAAATTGTTTTGATAAAAATATTATATTTACTTTACGTGATTTTAACGCAGTACAAACGTGACTGAGAGATATTCCACCAAATTTCGGATTTGTGGTTCACTAAAGACTGTAAATTTGATAATAATAACGATGCCGTCAGTTGCTTAAAAGTTCAAAGCTTCCTTCCTACATTTATTTAAATAGTTAGTTGACTCATACCTCACTGTAAAATTGATTATTCTTGCACGAGAAGATTAGTAGTGCTTTGTTAACTTTGGCATATCGTTTATCACGAGCTTACGGTTACCGGGTTACACGAAAAATTTACATAAGCGATGGTTAGAAATGATAAGAATATAATATGATAAATAAGATGTCTTCTCAATCATAGCCTGATAAGAAACTAACCTTATTACTGATAAAACGACAATGTAATTAGTTAATCACTTAATTAATTAACAAACTAATTAGTTAACAACCCTTCTAGGTCACGTGATGAGATCGCTTGGTCAGAACCCCACCGACCACGAGTTAACGGAAATGATCAGAGAGGCGGACGACGACGACAACGGTAACTTTCAGTCTTTATCTCTCTCTTTAGCTCTCTGACTCTTTATTGTAATCACAACTGTAAACAGTTTGTCCAGAGTAGTTCAAATGAATTCTCATTTAATCGCTACGATGATCCGCTGATTAAGTTTTATAAATCTTTAGTCCGTGTCTAGAATATGTGATTAATGACCTAGCACGGTTTTTATTTATCTAAATTCGAGGAAGACAGAGAAATACACGTGTAATTAAATACCTATTTTGGGATGAAGGGTTTGATAAAGGAAATTAAAAAAATGTAATTGACGAACCGGCAAAAAATTTGCAATAAGAAGTACAAAGTTAGCTTTAAAGGGTTGATCAGAAACTCATTTTCATTTGATACAATAATGGGTTAATATTCCCTTACTTGTCTGATAGGTATATAAGCATTTACAAAACTTCTTTAGCCATAACTCGACAGCTGCTATGATCTTTCGCTGCATGATTGTTGCAACCTAGGTGTGCTGTATAAATTGTCTGGAATTACTAATAACTGTCTACGTCTTATACTCGTCGCCAGACATATTGGCTCTGCTCGTTGTCTAGGACGTTGTGAACCATTGTTATGGCTACCAACTCTTGTCTGGGTCCCATTCCTCATCTACCATCTTACATTACATAATAGTAATTGTAAATAAGTATGATTTTTAATTATCTTAATGCATTACAATAACGGCAATGGTGTTATCAACTAGTAGTCAATAAGTGCTCGCTTAGTAGGTATCTCTGCAATCTGCATATGCATCGGCTCTGAGACATGCCCCTCCTTGATAAGTTGATACCCATCATTGCAGTTCTGCTAAATCATTTCACCCGTATTGCTATAAACAGCGCCATTCAGAGGAAGTGCCTATCCAATGGACAAGTAACCAGATACTTTGTATTTTAAGTAGCAGGAAAATACCCTGCGTCAGAGCCATCAAAAAGAGGGTCACGTGATCAAACTGAGTAACTTACCGACGCCTGATTTCTCGGAATCTGCGAGCAGATTGATTGGAGAACTAAATGTTGCTTTAATCCTGTTATTCTTCGTGGATTTTTCTGCTGCTTCATTCAATTATCGACCATTTTGCTCTGTTATAGGTTATGTATCACATTGTGCAGGCAAAATTGATTTACTTAAGGAAATCAAGGATTTACTGCAACAATGTAAATTGTTGCTGGTTATCGCTTTAATAAAAATTAATTGTTCAAACGTAAAGACGAATCTATCAGGTTCTACTTGGTAGAATGGTAGTGCCTTGTAATTATACTATACGTTGAACTCGTAATGTTTCTGAATGTAGTTTATGACGATAGCTAGGTCTTTAAAAAGGGGTGTGGGTCGTGGGAGGTTAAGATTGAACCCAACCGTGACGTAGAAATGTTAAAAGTGATTTACTGAAAAATTTCTGATTATGTATAAAAGTATGAAGGGATGACTCTTACAACCTTTGTTTCGTTTTATCTTTATGATTTATTTTCATTAATTCTGGACATATGACTAATTCAGTGATATATCTTTAGGGTCAGTAGATTTTGAAGAGTTCCTACTGTTGATGAGCAAAAAGATGTCAATGTTGGATATCGATCAGGAGTTATTGGAGGCCTTCAGTGTGTTCGACAAAGACGGTAAGTTTGATAATCATTTTTACCAACCACAATTTGACAACCAAAGCGTAATTTAAGAAATCTTAATTGATTAATTTGGCGCTCTGTTTCATTTTTAATCGTCAGTACAGATGTACCTCAAACTATTTGTAGATTCCAAAATTAGACGAAAATGCTTGTGGCACATTTCCGGAAATTGTGAAATTGTGAAATTCCGAATCTTCATTTTTTTACTCACTCGCTTGGGCTGGAAGCCCAAGCAATATGCAGTTCTGGTCTTGAGGCTATTTTACAATGTTTTATAACATGTGCTTGCAACTAGATCTTGAATGTCGCGTGCCCCACGGGGATTTAATTTATTCATACAATTTATTATATATTGGTTCCAAAGCCCTTATGGGTACCAGCAAAAACTGGTTTTCAAACAAAAAAAACTCATAATTAAAATTTCAGCAACAAAAATGTATTGCTATTTATATCATTATAAATCCCTGAAACTTTAGCTAAAATATAGAATATAAAATCATACATATGCGTTTCGTTGTTGGTACTCGTTTCTCCTATGACATGTGAAACACAAGCAAATGTGTAATCAAACTGATAGTAACCGCTGGCTCCGTAAATACGCGTTTTACATTCTACAATTGGCAACACATCTATCATGGTCGATATTAATTACAAACATTATTTTCCAACTCTCATTAGGTTTTCTGAGTATGATACTTGCACTTCCCTGCTAACAACTTAACAATTGTTAGAAAAACACATACCGTATGTCGTACAATTAAGACTATAAAAGAACGATGTAAAAGTGCACCTGATCAATAACAAGCATCTCCGCTGGAGTCAATAGCAATCCATAATGAACTCACCCCCCTAGCCTGCATTATCGGCTCCATCAAGCATTGTCAGCCCATCTCACACTAGCACTCCTGACATGAATCCACCAGATCTCTGATGATATTGCTTACAAGAGACACGTAAATAAGAAGGTTCCGGGAGAGTGAGCAGCTGATAACGTGCAAACACGTAAATACACGTGCAAATTGTTCCCCCACGTGACCTCAGAGGGTGACTTCCGTCGCGTGCAATTTATAAACTTGGTGGATTAAACGTGCAATTATACTGCTCAAGCGAACCACATGATCGTTGGGTTGTCTAAATTTCGGCTATCCGCGGGTAGAATTTTATTTCTCATAGCTATCCTTTGCGTTTGTTTGTCCAAATCGAAAGTTTTAACAAGTTTGATGCGCGTTTAAAAATGTCAAAACCAAATCAGAACCACTCGGACGACGAGCTGAAACAGATATTTCATATGTTTGATAAGGATGGTGGGTTAAAATGAATATTTACAATATGATCGTAGGAGTTCTGATTCAATTGTAATGATATCTGTCCAAATTTTAGAGTCCAGAATTACAGATTGATTGTGAAACTAATTATAAGAAAGTTACATTAAAAGTATTATTGAGATGACAACCAATAGTTATTTTTGCGAGCGAGATTTATTCAGCACGTTTAAATTAAACCATATTAACTGGGTTTTTAGTTCGCCTGGTTTAATTTTAGTTCGCCCGGTTAACTGCACTGGTATATTGGTCTATAACTTGGTGGTTCTTAACATTTTAACCTTTTCAGGTAACGGATTTATAGACCAAGATGAACTGACGAACGTTCTAGCAAGCCTGGGAGAAGAATTGGACGAAGAGCAGGTAACTGTTTTTAGTTGGTGTGGTGACTGTTTTTAGTTGGTGTGGTGACTGTTTGTAGTTGGTGTGGTAACTGTTTTTAGTTGGTGTGGTGACTGTTTGTAGTTGGTGTGGTAACTGTTTTTAGTTAGTATGGTTACTGATTTTAACTGATTCGAGTAAGTATTTTGACTGCTTTAGTTGTAATAACCAATGTTTTTACAACAGCTATTTGCGTTATGTTTGTGTTATTGTTAACACACCAATCCCTTGTTCAGGTGAAAGAAATGATGCGACAAGCAGACAAAGACGGAGACGGACTCGTCAGTTTTGAGGAGTTTAAGGACATTATGTGCAGTAAAGTTTAAACACGCAATCCTCTCGTTACGTCACCAAAATCTAACGTGACGTCACCAAAATGTAGCGTGACGTCACCAAAAGTCTAAAGTTGCGTCACCAAAGATCGTATATCCGAGTTTTCAGCTTGCACGAGAAGTACGGGAGATAAACCATTAGACTCCCTTGAACGTTTTATCTTTGCAGTTGTTACACTCTTTCGCTTGTTACAGTATATAAGATGGGAAGGTTACATAAAGGTCAAATAATTAATTAATTAATTAATTTAATTTGATGACCCAAAATATTGCTCATATACTGGTTGCATTCTTTTGTAACATTTGTAATTGTACATTGCAATATTGTATAAGTTGCAGTGCATATTTATATTGAACATTCCAAGCTAAAATATTAAGGTGAGATATGTTAAAATATGGCAGTATAATTACTGGAGTGGAATTTTTGGATGTCTCAGTAATTCTTACGAGTTTGAAATTTGAAAATGAACTTGGTAAGCATTGTCACGTTTTAATAATAAGTTGTCTATTCCAGTTCCACTGATGATGATGGTTAATATCTGTAAACACGCGTTGCATGAGGTTAAAATTTTATGCGGTTTGCAATGACTATTAGTATGATATGTTTCAATATGTATGGCAAATTTTATCAACAATACTACAGAACTGATTTTTATTTTTTGCCATTTGAAATGGCGCCCACAAATTAAACCGAGAAAATATATTGTTTATTTACCTCTTGTAGACAAAACAGTAGTTATCTGATCCTGGATATTTTCATAAAATCTTTAAAATACTCTTAGTCTCATAAAACAAAATATTTAAAGAGTTTAAAAGTTTTCAGATATCCATAAGTCTCAAAAGTCTTTGGATATACTTTAATGACCGTTCTCTCCGTGTAGAAGATGCTACAGTTCAGCGCGAAGAACCTTTGCCAAAATGTCATTGAGCTTATCTGAAAATCAATTGTAGTTTCAGGATTGAACAATACCCTATTAAATTAGGGTATTAAAATTTAAACCAAGCATTATAGATCCTAATCTATGATAGGCGATAGCTGTTACTAAAGTTTGGTATCCACAGCATCGCTTTTTACTAGCAATGTTAACGGCAACAGTAACCAATTATTTAAAAAAAAATTTAAGCACCAATCCACCGAAAATTAGATCAAGTTAATTTAATGAGCTATCGATGATTTCCTAAAATGAATAGAATCTGTTGGTTGATCGAAATTTAATGTGAAGATAGTGATGGAAAATGGTAACTGAATTAATTAATTAATTAAATTAATTAATTGATTAACAAGTTCTAACCCATCCATCTGGAACAGGATTTGTCTCCGTCAACGTAACCGTAGTATATTGGCACCCCTGTTAATTGATTTTAATTGAATACTAGTTAACGAGTCCATGGGTGATTTATAAATTTTAGATTTATAGGCGCTAATTTGCTGTTATAATATAATTTCTGTGGAATTCCGTTGAATTCCGTCGAATTCCACTATTTGCTGATTTTTCCAGCAATGTACATGTAAATTATAACGGCTACTTTTAAGACAAAAATTCTGTGATAGTAGGAAAGTGCTCCATCCGGATTGAAAGATGACAAAAAGCCGTATAAACAAGGAAAACTATGCTCCACCTCGAACTTGATTTGTTTCATTCAATCACAAGTTTTATTGATTTAATCTCAAAAACCAGTTGTGATAGACTCACCGAGAAGAGTGATACCAATCCAGAGCAGACAAGGTATGGGATTCACAAAGAAGGGCCCCACCACCAAGTACACTGTGGAGAGCACTGCTACAGCCGGGATTATCAAACTCACCTGAAAAGAGAGGGTTATGTTACCAAGTACCTACTGCCTCACTGAAATACAAACTCTCTTGGGATCCAAATCTTCGGTGAATTCTTTAAATCACCAGAGTGAGTATGTAAAGGTGGATCTAGGCTGCGAAAAATATCTTATACACCATATATTTCCTTGGTAGGCTCTTAAGTGGGGCAGTTTTATATACAACCACTTGGATAAATTGGTTGATTAATGTTACCTTGAATTGGCTAGGGCAGCATGGCATCTTCCACCTGAAAACAGGAACAGCAAGGAAACACAGTCCCCACCAGAACCAGGGCTAAGTTACTAAGTTACTACGTTACTAAGTTACTAAGTTACTAAGTTACCTTGAATTGGCTAGGGCAGCATGGCATCTTCCACCTGAGAACAGGAACAGCAAGGAAACACAGTCCCCACCAGAACCAGGGCTAAGTTACTAAGTTACTACGTTACTAAGTTACTAAGTTACTAAGTTACCTTGAATTGGCTAGGGCAGCATGGCATCTTCCACCTGAAAACAGGAACAGCAAGGAAACACAGTACCCACCAGAACCAGGGCTAAGTTACTAAGTTACTACGTTACTAAGTTACTAAGTTACTAAGTTACCTTGAATTGGCTAGGGCAGCATGGCATCTTCCACCTGAAAACAGGAACAGCAAGGAAACACAGTACCCACCAGAACCAGGGCTAAGTTACTAAGTTACTACGTTACTAAGTTACTAAGTTACTAAGTTACCTTGAATTGGCTAGGGCAGCATGGCATCTTCCACCTGAAAACAGGAACAGCAAGGAAACACAGTACCCACCAGAACCAGGGCTAAGTTACTAAGTTACTACGTTACTAAGTTACTAAGTTACTAAGTTACCTTGAATTGGCTAGGGCAGCATGGCATCTTCCACCTGAAAACAGGAACAGCAAGGAAACACAGTCCCCACCAGAACCAGGGCTAAGTTACTAAGTTACTACGTTACTAAGTTACTAAGTTACTAAGTTACCTTGAATTGGCTAGGGCAGCATGGCATCTTCCACCTGAAAACAGGAACAGCAAGGAAACACAGTCCCCACCAGAACCAGGGCTAAGTTACTAAGTTACTACGTTACTAAGTTACTAAGTTACTAAGTTACCTTGAATTGGCTAGGGCAGCATGGCATCTTCCACCTGAAAACAGGAACAGCAAGGAAACACAGTACCCACCAGAACCAGGGCTAAGTTACTAAGTTACTACGTTACTAAGTTACTAAGTTACTAAGTTACCTTGAATTGGCTAGGGCAGCATGGCATCTTCCACCTGAAAACAGGAACAGCAAGGAAACACAGTCCCCACCAGAACCAGGGCTAAGTTACTAAGTTACTACGTTACTAAGTTACTAAGTTACTAAGTTACCTTGAATTGGCTAGGGCAGCATGGCATCTTCCACCTGAAAACAGGAACAGCAAGGAAACACAGTCCCCACCAGAACCAGGGCTAAGTTACTAAGTTACTACGTTACTAAGTTACTAAGTTACTAAGTTACCTTGAATTGGCTAGGGCAGCATGGCATCTTCCACCTGAAAACAGGAACAGCAAGGAAACACAGTCCCCACCAGAACCAGGGCTAAGTTACTAAGTTACTACGTTACTAAGTTACTAAGTTACTAAGTTACCTTGAATTGGCTAGGGCAGCATGGCATCTTCCACCTGAAAACAGGAACAGCAAGGAAACACAGTACCCACCAGAACCAGGGCTAAGTTACTAAGTTACTACGTTACTAAGTTACTAAGTTACTAAGTTACCTTGAATTGGCTAGGGCAGCATGGCATCTTCCACCTGAAAACAGGAACAGCAAGGAAACACAGTACCCACCAGAACCAGGGCTAAGTTACTAAGTTACTACGTTACTAAGTTACTAAGTTACTAAGTTACCTTGAATTGGCTAGGGCAGCATGGCATCTTCCACCTGAAAACAGGAACAGCAAGGAAACACAGTACCCACCAGAACCAGGGCTAAGTTACTAAGTTACTACGTTACTAAGTTACTAAGTTACTAAGTTACCTTGAATTGGCTAGGGCAGCATGGCATCTTCCACCTGAAAACAGGAACAGCAAGGAAACACAGTCCCCACCAGAACCAGGGCTAAGTTACTAAGTTACTACGTTACTAAGTTACTAAGTTACTAAGTTACCTTGAATTGGCTAGGGCAGCATGGCATCTTCCACCTGAAAACAGGAACAGCAAGGAAACACAGTACCCACCAGAACCAGGGCTAAGTTACTAAGTTACTACGTTACTAAGTTACTAAGTTACTAAGTTACCTTGAATTGGCTAGGGCAGCATGGCATCTTCCACCTGAAAACAGGAACAGCAAGGAAACACAGTACCCACCAGAACCAGGGCTAAGTTACTAAGTTACTACGTTACTAAGTTACTAAGTTACTAAGTTACCTTGAATTGGCTAGGGCAGCATGGCATCTTCCACCTGAAAACAGGAACAGCAAGGAAACACAGTCCCCACCAGAACCAGGGCTAAGTTACTAAGTTACTACGTTACTAAGTTACTAAGTTACTAAGTTACCTTGAATTGGCTAGGGCAGCATGGCATCTTCCACCTGAAAACAGGAACAGCAAGGAAACACAGTACCCACCAGAACCAGGGCTAAGTTACTAAGTTACTACGTTACTAAGTTACTAAGTTACTAAGTTACCTTGAATTGGCTAGGGCAGCATGGCATCTTCCACCTGAAAACAGGAACAGCAAGGAAACACAGTACCCACCAGAACCAGGGCTAAGTTACTAAGTTACTACGTTACTAAGTTACTAAAATCCCCTCTAACTCTCCTTATCTCTCTCAGTCCAGCCCCAAGTTCGTTCTGGCAGAGTTTGGAGGCCTGAGACAGAACTGGAAGAGGCCAGAAGAGATTTGGTCTGTGAATCGGTGCGAGGGATGGTGCAACCTCAAAAAAGAGTTGGCATCGGTTTTGGTGACTGGAAAAAACCTTGGGAGAGGATGGATGAGCGGGAAAGAGAGAGGGAGGTTATGCTGAGAGTGAAGGAGAACATTGAAAGAGAGAGGGAGGTGCAAGTAGGTTCTCTGGAGATGCAGAGCAGATGGGGTGAGTGGAGAGAGCTCGTAATGAAGACGGATTTGAGCTGGCATACACTTTTTAAGTATGGTGACTCACTTATTGGGTTCATGCTAAGTGCTGTGTACGGCACCCTCTTAACCCCCTCTATGGTTTCCAAGTGGAGTGAAGATGAGGATGGGAAGTGCAAGTTATGTGAGGAGAGGATGGGCACCATTCAGCACATTTTGGCTGGGTGTAAGGTGGCCCTTAGTCAAGGAAGGTATAGATGGCGGCACGACAAGGTTCTGAAGCAGATCTCTGAACAGGTTGTCTTCCATTGTGATCGCCGAGTGAACACTTATAAGAACAAGGCCGGCGATGGAAGGCAGTTCATTGATTTTGTTCCTGCTGGGAAAAGAAAAGCGGGTACAGACGACCGGAAGGAGAGTCGTGGTTTTGGGATCCTGAGTGGGTATCGGGATTGGATAGTGCTGTCAGACCTTGAGGGGCAGCTTAAGTTTCCCAGTGAGATTGTGGAAACACGGCTGAGGCCGGACCTTGTGATATTCTCAAGGTCGGCAAAGACAGTTATTTGGTGGGAGCTAACAGTACCATCTGAAGAGCGGATCGCTGAATCGCACGAGTACAAGCTCGACCGATACAGCGGTCTGCAGGCTGAGATTCAGGCGAAAGGTTGGTGCTGTTATAATGCCGCAGTCGAAGTTGGAGCTAGGGGAGTGGTTGCGCAGAGTTTGGAGAGAGCTGCGAGGAGGATTGGTTTTAGGGGAAGAGAGCTGAAGAAGCTGGTACGGGACAGCGGGAAAGAGGCAGCCCACTGTTCCAGATGGATTTATTTGTTATCGAGAAAGAGGGAGTGGGAGTTCAGGAAGGTTGGAACTTGAGAGTTCACTTAACATCTAGAGGTACCATAAACGTTATCTCGTCGCCAATTGCGAGCTCTAACGGGTCTCCTCAAGTGACTCTCGGATCAGATGGTGGTTCAAGGGTGGACTGCTGGGGCGCCTGACAGGAAACCGTATTGCGATTAAAGCCCCGAAACGGTGTCAGGTTGGTAACTGATGATTCTGATCCATGCTCCTGTGAGTTTGCTGTTGTATCTCAACTCGCTAAACTGAGGCATCTCCGCATCTTGGGTGAATATGCGTACATCTTCATACTAAACCCAGGTGTGGCATGTGTCAGTGAATACGGGCGAGCGGATGCAATAGCGAAGGTGGTGTGGCAAGGCCTAAAAGACACAGTCAGATAGTTGTCAGCTCGCTGACTGTAAGGGAGAAGGTATATCCGTATTTCGCTGCTACTGATGCAGTCCTTGATCTGGCAATCAAGGCTTCTCTGTTTTTCGTCTAACTATGTACCGTTGGGCTTGTGGAACCCGTAGGGGGGACATACATAGGTTAGAATGGTTTTGTGCACCAAGAGGAGTGAGGGAATGAGGGTTGAAGAGAGAGAGCTAGAGAGTTGTTAGGGTGGTTAGGATCAGTAGGTGGAGTGTTTGGTTGGAGCGTTCTGTTTTTGCTGTATAGCATTTTAGTCACTCCGCAGTTTATTAACTGTGTCTCAACTCTACTAAGTTACTAAGTTACCTTGAATTGGCTAGGGCAGCATGGCATCTTCCACCTGAAAACAGGAACAGCAAGGAAACACAGTCCCCACCAGAACCAGGGCTAAGTTACTAAGTTATTAAGTTACTAAGTTACTAAGTTACTAAGTTACTAAGTTACTAAGTTACTAAGTTACTAAGTTACTGAGTTACTAAGTTACTAAGTTACTAAGTTACTAAGTTACTAAGTTACTAAGTTACTAAGTTACTAAGTTACTAAGTTACTAAGTTACTAAGTTACCAAGTTACTAAGTTACTAAGTTACCAAGTTACTAAGTTACTAAGTTACTAAGTTACTAAGTTACTAAGTTACTAAGTTACTAAGTTACTAAGTTACTAAGTTACTAAGTTACTAAGTTACTAAGTTATTAAGTCACTAAGTTACTAAGTTACTAAGTTACTACGTTACTAAGTTACTAAGTTACTAAGTTACCTTGAATTGGCGAGGGCAGCATGGCATCTTCCACCTGAGAACAGGAACAGCAAGGAAACACAGTCCCCACCAGAACCAGGACAGGAAACCCACGTACGCTATCAGGTTTGTAATGTTGCTCGGCCAGACAAACAGGAATGCTGTGAAACCCTGGGGGTTAGTCTCAGGTAGAATTGGGATTGAACCAAGATTTGCTTCATCACTTGAATTTATTGCAATATTTTCAGCGCATCATTTTCTATGGCAATGCAATGTTTTTATTGCAATATTTTATTGCATATGGTGACATATCGCATATAATAATTGATAAAGGCAAAGCTAGGAAATGAGGCCAATGGATTGACGAATATTCGAAATCATATATTAAGCTGAAGTCCGTTAGACATATCACATACATCAGAACTTAAAAATTATCTATGAACCAGATTGGAAATACGTCATTAAGATGATGGCTTGTATTTGGAAACTATCACCACTCATAATTGGATAACACATGTTAACTTACAATGTAAAGGACCCCAACTATCGGGGTTCCAGTCCTTGTCTGTATAAGACCCACACATTTCGGAAACATACCCTCCTGGGCTGCTATGAATGGTAATCTGAGAAAATTAAAGTATTAAATAATATAATTTAAGGAATTAAACGATTGAAGAATTAAATAATTAAGGTATAAACCTTGGCGAGATGCACCGCCGAGATGGTCTCTTCAAATTCACAGCAACAGGTTACAGTTACTGATATTTTCTTGGCACGAATATTTCCATTTTTCTACGAACCACTGAGACACTTATGGTAATGAGTTAAAATGCAACACGGTACCTTGACGAGCCCATTAGACTTGATGACAGAGAACCGTATGTTGAGATCACTACACTTATACCAAAGAAGATCTCTCCAAAACGTCCCCAGTAATCTCCGTATCTTATCAACATCTTCTTCCCTACAAACTGTAGAAAGACACGCGTTAACTGACACGCGTTACGACTCACGCGTTACGACTCACGCGTTACGACTGCAACACGCGTCACAACGGACACCCGTTATTGACACATCAATCATTTGGCATCAATTAAAAATGGTTTTAGCCTAATATTATATCCTCTTATCGATGGAACTACTTTTTATTTTCAGTAATATATCAAGTTTTATAACTTTTATAACTTTTACAAGTTTTTTTATCAAGTATTTATTTGTCCAATCCGACGCAGGAAAATAAAAACTACAAAAAAACAAATGAACTCTAATACTCACCAGCGCAATAGCATCCACATTGTACAGTTCCTCGAGAGTGAGGATAGAACAGTAAGCTATGTTAGCTAGCAAGTAAACTGTTATCAGTGTTATCTGGGAGATTACAAGGGCTCTGGGAACATTCTTTGAGGCGTTTTTTATTTCTCCCGCCATCATGTTTATACAATTCCTGGTGGTAGGGAATGGAGGATATTTGCTCCTTTTGTATCATTTTAAAATACCAACGTTCTTCCTTATAATTCTTGATAACTTATAATTCTAAATTTAAGATCGCATGATCAACGACAACTTTGAAAATATTCGACTGAAATGATGATCAATAAACTAATTTCAAACCAGCCACTGTAAGACCAAAGAGCAGCAAAAAATGCAGTTGTCCAAGTTCCTGGATTCATGTTTGTGTCCTTAAACCCAACTTTGATGTTCTCAGTTCCCCCTGAAAAGTACAAAATACTTTTTTATTTCCACTCTACTTTCATAAATTAACCTATTATAGATTGCAATTAACGAATTAACGAATTAATTAATTAACTAATAACTGTCGGCACCTACCTTCACCTAGTTTCCAGGCACCCAGCACTATCAGTACGAACAGAGCCAGCAGTTTTAGAACACAGAAAGTATTGGCCATTCTCACCCCACACTTTGTGCTGATCGAGTTTACCACGATTATGAGCACTGAAGTTGGTTTTTGTGAATTTCATTGGCTGAATTAATGTCAATTTTCTAAAGATTTTAACCAAGAATTAGTTCTAAAGTGTATCCGTAAAACACTGTTCATCAATATTATCACGGATCATCAACCAAAAAACACCCACCAATGGCAGTTGCCGCACCAGTTTTCTTAGCAAGCAAGAAATGCGGATGCTCGTGACTCATAAAGATAGAGATGAGATAGCTGGAGAAAGTAAGGGCGATCACTGCACAACCCATAGAGTTTCTGATAACACCGCACATCCAGAGGTACACGAACGAGGGGAGTTTACCGTATCTAGTTTTAGTTTTATATTAATCTTTTATTGTACTTTGTAGGCACAAAATATTATTTCGGCAGTATCTTCCTGGACTAGTATAGCATTTATAATGAAAGATATTTGAGGTATTTGGGGTATTTGTGCTGACTTACGCTGCTTTGATATATTGGAATTCTCCTCCAGATCTTTTGATCATCGTACCGAGCTCTGCAAACGACAACGCTCCTGAAGTAAAACCGATGTAACATGAATAATTAATTAATTAATTAATCAATCAATTGATTAAGTCGAATAACCAACATGATCAGGTCTTAGCCTAAAGTTACCACCCCCTCCCTCGTAAAGAATATTCATGAATATGTTATATGGTGGACTTAAGATCATGGAGTCTGCCACCGGCTTTTAATACTATCATAGCGTTATAAATGAATAATGATAAAACATGATGAACAGGTGCAGTCAGTGAGTTGAATTAGAAAACAAAGAACTGAATCTTTTTTGAAAACGATCACTGCATGTTCCAGGCTTGATCAGTGGAATAAAAAAGGGAGAGAAATTTTACAATAGAAAAGGTATCCAGGTATTTTTAACTTCAAGGCTCGATCTCCCAAAGTGAATAATAAAAATGAAACTAGAACTAAAATAAAAAATAACATATCTGGACACTTATGGGGAGGTGACAGTGATTCTGAGATTTTGTTGGTCGGATCAACACTGGAAGCTCATTGGTTATTCACTGTCACGTGCCTACATGGTTCACCCCACCAGTAAGCAATACTAACCAGTGAGAGAGATAAGACCGGAAACAACCCAGATTACAAGCGCCATACCCGGGGATCCCACCTGTTTCACAACCTCGTTAGGAGACACGAATATACCTGGGGTACCGGGCAGAGTTAGAGTGTTAGAGTAAGAGTAAGAGTTAGAGTTAGAGAAATCAGTAAACGAGGGAAAGCTAGCGTCTACCTTTGTATTTACCAACTTAATGTAGGGTTATATAATATGCTCAGATTTAATTATGCACAATGATAATTGTTAAAGTAACAAACCTGAGCCGATTGTTTGCCCGACAGCGAACAGAACGGTGGAAAGTAGGGTAAAGTGTGGTTCTAGTTCAGTGGGGAGATCTGGGGGATATTAAGTCATTTATTTTTGCAAACCTACAGGGTAATTTTAGTTATGCCTATGGGTCATTTATAAGGCACGCCATTAAGCGACCACCGACGGATTTCAAAATTTAAAGTTTTGTAAAATGATGAAATTAAGACAAACCTTTATCAACCCCCATTTCGATTTCACTCAGCCGGCGATCACAACATTCATTGTCTCTGTGGAGGGAAAACCAAAATACGTAAACAGAAACAGAAACAAAATACGCAAACAGAAACCGATTACGCTAACAGGAACGATTTATTCAAGTCAATCGTGTGTTTGAGAGCATGAAAATGCGTGAGAGTTGACAAATGTCAATTAGAATGGGTATTGTTCTCATACTAAGTAATTATCTTATAAGGGCAGAACCTATCCAGAACAAGTGTCAAGTATCAACAAGATAATATTAGTAACAGTATAAGTATTTAGTAATAATATTATTAATAATATTATTACTAATATTAGTAATAATAATACCTGTCCAGAATGGGTATAAGTTCCGTTCTCTCAGTTGGCTCCGTTTGAGGGAACATTTGGTTTCCCATTCCTACGTCGACCAGAACAAATAACCAGTTTCTTCAGATGTCCAGATGCTACTTTTTAATTGGCAGATTTCCAAGCAATCGAAAAGCAAAGTAGCAGTGGTGCTTTAGTGAAGCTTATAGAATCAAATGAAGCTGGAGTTTGGTCAAGAAATTTTGTTAACTGCAGCTACTGTTTCACGGGAAAGTTTCCAGAAGAACGTAGGCTTGAAATAACAACTTTTTGTCTGTAAACTGCAAAGAAAGAGGCTTGGAGCTGACTATATCTAAAACGGGATCTGGACCTGGATCTCCGGTTATGATATTGGTTTATTAAATGATAACTTAAGTGATAACTTACTTAACTTGCTATGGTAACTTACTTAACAGTAGATGTTTTAATAGTTGATGTTTTGAATAAACGTCTCATCTTTGTTTCCCTTTCTCAAGATTTCACAGACAATGAGCAGTAAGGCGTAGTTCAATTCACTGAAAAGTGTGATCTTTGTCGCAGCTGTTACTCTGTTTTTATACTCTATTGATCGATCAGGTGGTTAGTCAATGGTCATGTCCTCAACTGAAATTTTGGCACTATCCGTCGCGGAGTAGAGCGGCGGAGCCGCCGGACTCCGAGCGGACTCCGAGCGGACTCCGAGCGGACTCCGGCGGAGCCGCCGGACTCCGAGCGGACTCCGAGCGGACTCCGGCGGAGCCGCCGGACTCCGAGCGGACTTCGGCGGTGCTCCGCCAAAATGTATTTACACTGGACTCGAGTACATTTTGGCGGACTCCGAGCGGAGCCGAGCGGACTCCGAGCGGACTTTAAAGTCCGCCGCGGACTCCGAGCGGCTCGGCGGCGGCTCGGCGGAGTGTCCGCCGCGGACTAAGCCACTAGGCGGACTCCGGTCCGCCGCGGACTCCGGCGGAGTGCTTGGCGGACTCCGCCGGACCTCTCCGCCAGACTTGAATCCGGCGGAGTCCGGCGGAGCTTGGACTCCGCTCGGAGTCCGCCGGACTCCAACAGAGTCCACTGACTTCCGACTTCCGACTTCCGACTCTCGGCTAAATTTGTCACGTGACATACAACATAGCCAATAGCATTTTGCGATATTGTGGTCAGATGAAAAGGTCGCTAGTGATAAACCTTAACCATTACCCTCACAATGTCAATAGTGTACAACTCTAGTCCTAACTTTGACCCTATAATGTATAAACGTTGACCCTAACCCTCCACCAAACCGCCAGCAGCGAAATATCAATGTCATTGACTGGTCACGTGACCAAAACAATTTGTGTCATATTATCTCATATAGGGAAGCGTTTTTAGTTTTACCCTACACGTTGCATGTGGCGTCATTCGGCCGGATCCCAGCAAGCAAAAATACGTCGACCATCACAGGACGACGCCAGCACTCTCTCCGCTCGTCGAGCTCCGATCGTCCTGTGACGAAGTAAGGACGAAGCCTGAGGTCCTCAGGTAACATCGACCACCGATTGAAAATTCAGAGATTTTTTGACATAAAGGTCAAATGTAAAACTAAAATCTTGATGTTAATTGATTGACGACGCGACGTCAATTTTTGAGCACAGCGCGAGCGCATGCGGAAAAGGACCGCGTAGCTAGTCAAGATGTTGATAAATATTTGGCTTGTGGCGCGATGTGTTGCTCTAAGTCTAACTATATAGCCCTCTCGCTTGCAGTTACTGGGCCGCGCTCAGCCTGTCATTCCGCCTAATCTCTATTAACAACATTAAAGCCTGGGGTCCTCAGGTAAGCTTGCAGTAGTATATATAGCGCGCGACCGCCGGAGGCGGAAATGACCTGGTTAGCTAGGTAAACGCGATGTGCCTTGTAGGATGAAATCCTACTAGCTGACGCCACTCGCAGCTGTGCTGCTCGCTGTACGTCAGCGATCGAAATTTATACGCGTATCACCCGTTAAGATGTGCCACCCGACGTGCCACACAATTTTTCTCGTTGCTCGTCGCACGTCGACGAACAACGAAGCTCGTTGCGACGCGCAATGAGCTGCCAGGCTAGGACATCGTCCTGGTCCAACAAATTTTGGCGAGCGATTTTCTCCAAAAATTTAATGAGGGCGCCGACTTCCACTCTGGCTAGGTTTCTTTTTTAAAATTGACGTCGTCGATCAATCAACATCAAGATTTTAGTTTTACATTTGACCTTTATGTCAAAAAATTTTTGAATTTTCAATCGGTGGTCGATGTTACCTGAGGACCTCAGGCTTCGTCCTTACTTCGTCACAGGACGATTGGAGCTCGAAGAGCGTAGAGAGTGCTGGCTGGCGTCGTCCTGTGATGGTCGACGTATTTTTGCTTGCTGGGATCCGGCCGAATGACGCCACATGCATGCAACGTGTAGGGTAAAACTAAAAACGCTAACCCTAACCCTAATTATAATATGACAAAAATTGTTTTGGTCACGTGACCAGTCAATGACATTGATATTTCGCTGCGGACGGTTTGGTGGAGGGTTAGGGTCAACGTTTATACATTATAGGGTCAAAGTTAGGACTAGAGTTGTACACTATTGACATTGTGACCGTAATGGTTAAGGTTTATCACTAGCGACCTTTTCATCTGACCACAATATTGCAAAATGCTATGTTGTATGTCACGTGACAAATTTAGCCGAGGGTCGGAAGTCAGTGGACTCTGTTGGAGTCCGGCGGACTCCGAGCGGAGTCCACCGAGCTGGCGGAGTCCGCCAAGCTCCGCCGGATTCAAGTCTGGCGGAGAGGTCCGGCGGAGTCCGCCAAGCACTCCGCCGGAGTCCGCGGCGGACCGGAGTCCGCCTAGTGGCTTAGTCCGCGGCGGACACTCCGCCGAGCCGCCGCGGAGCCGCTCGGAGTCCGCGGCGGACTTTAAAGTCCGCTCGGAGTCCGCTCGGCTCCGCTCGGAGTCCGCCAAAATGTACTCGAGTCCAGTGTAAATACATTTTGGCGGAGCACCGCCGGAGTCCGCTCGGAGTCCGGCGGCTCCGCCGCGGACTCTACTCCGCGACGGATAGTGCCGAAATTTTCAGGCCGATAGGTTAAAATTCGCCACAGGAGTCAGGACCTTATTTATTAAGCTGGATTTTTGGGTGGACTCCCACAGTTGAATTTTAAAATTTTGGCGCGGGCGACGAATTCCCCGAATGATTAGTAACAGTATGAAAAGTGTAATCTTTGTCCCAGCTGTTGCTGTGATTTTATTGTATGTTGGTCAATATCAGCTGGGTAGCAAATATTTCCTTAACTGATTTCACGTTACAGTTTACACCACACTTGTTTAAAGCGTAAAAAAATCATTTCATTATTTATTATTTTGTGAGGAATTATTTCATGATTTATGAGTCAGTATCTTAAATGAGGGAGTGTACTTGCGGTACCAGAGCTGACCTTAGACTTTATTGCATCACAATTGAAAATAATGCCGAGAGAGCTGCTACCATGGCGCCTAAGTCCTCATAAATTTTAATATTGAATTTAATAATCATGATTGTAATCCTACATTCAGCATTCAATGTCCTGCAGTATAGTAGCAGCGTAGGTAATAGAGATATCTGAGGTAAGGAAACTAAAACTTAGATGACTGCTTTTTTGGAATGGTATGATGTAGGAGGTTGAGGTGGGGGAGGTGGGGGATCCAAAGGAGTTTGACATATACTACATTCTGTTAACTTACACATTCCGAGAGAAAGGCACAGTGGAGGTTCGTCAGTTGGGATTAGTACACCATTCTTACAAGTTGCCTTGTTGCCTCCCTTGTCGAGATAGTCAGCTAGGCAAGTCAGGGTCATCTCCTGTCCGTGTAGAACTGGTATATCAGGGTCTACTGTTAAATGACTCCAGCTGTGATCACTGGAGCATCCTGACATTTGTATACATTATTACATGTTTCATTTTTAAGTTTTAATGAGTTAATGAGCGATCAGTGTAACTGCAAATTAGACAACTCGAGAGAGTTTCCAAAAATTTTGTCCGACTATTTGTTGAGCAAATGGTGTGTGAGATATTTCAACGGACACTGTACACCTATGACACACATGTTTCACTATTTCACTATTTCACTATTAGCCAGTTTGTAATCTCACCATCTTTCTTTGCCACCGCTATCTCGTACACAGAGAAACTACTAGCATCACCCGACTGCAGCTTTACCGTGTTACCGTACTTGCAGTCAGTGGGTTCCGGTAGACCCTCCGGCAGTGCACTAACAGTAAAATAAAGTTATCAGTAAAACAAAGTTATTAAAAAAAGAAAAAAAAAAAGAAGAAAAAGCTATACATTTTATGCAATAATAATGAAAATCTCTACAAAGAAAAACAATGTTTTGATAATTGTTGCATACCTGACGTTATAGACCGTCACAGAGTAGCCACTACACATGTGACCCTCACAGGATAAGCAGTCAGTCTGAGCGCAACGCCAGTTAAGGCCCCTTCCAGCCATTGCCACTGCGAATTTAACCTAAAACCTGCCCAGTTAATAGCGAAGACTGCGAAATTACCACTCCTGCCTAGTAATCTAATTTACCCTGTCCAGATCAGCAGTATATTACACTAAATCCGCAGGTTTTCTCTTAATTTTTTATGTCAAAACCTGCCTAATTAACTAGTGATCCTGCATCAACAGCGCAGGTATTTGTTATTTGGCAGGTTTTCTATTAACTTGGCAGGATTTGCTATAAAATTATCAATCCTTTCCGGATGGATTATGGCAGTGATAAAGTTAAATCGGCAGGTTTTCCATTAACTTGGCAGGATTTTTTATAAAATTATCAATCCTTGCCGGATAGATTACGGCAGTGATAAAGTTAAATCGGCAGGTTTTCCATTAACTTTGCAGGATTTGTTATAAAATTATCAATCCATGCCAAATAGATTATAATGCTATAATCTTATTATGGCAGCGTTAAATTTATAAATTGGCAGGTTTCTTTTATCTTTCTTTTAAGTTCTTAAGTTATTTGGAATTTTGCTTATTTGGCACCAAAACTAAAAGTCAATAAAACCGAGTTGATTAGCGCAGTCAAGAAATTGGCCGGAGTTGATAAAAAGCTGACAACCATGGCACTGAATCTCCAAATGAGAGGTATGGTACGCTATATACTTATATAGTATGGTACCGCAACAATTGACCCCCTCCCCCCCCCCCCCCCTCCGACAAATGACCCCCTGATGCAATCTACCCCCGACAATTGACCCCCCCATGTAATTACACTGGGGTCAATTCATGGTTAGGGTAAG